AGAGAGAGAGAGAGAGAGAGAGAGAGAGAGAGAGAGAGAGAGAGAGACAGACAAGTCCCAAGTGAGAAGAAAAGGGAATCATCTTCAAAAGAGGAGGAGGGGGAAGACTCACGAATAATTGATAAGCTTCCTATTTTGTTTTGCCTCTTCTAATTCTCTTTTGTCAATCTAGATATGAAGAATCCAAATAAAGCTGAACAGTTCAAAAGGAGCGTGAGACGACTCGGACACATGAAACCGAAGGCTCCGCAGGGAGAAACCTGCAGCCTCCACTTTAAATCTCCCTCTCCATCACCGCCGAGGGGGCTATTTTTAACCCCCGTGGTGCCAATCACTTTCCCCATATCAGTCATTTCAAACACGCAGGGCTGTAATTGATCAGTCAGTCAATCGGGTTGCCGGAGCTCCCGCTGCTCTCCTGAAGGCATCGAGCACTTTATTTCCACGCAGCTCCCCAGTGGGAGAAGATAAGATGGCGGGGGGAGCAGAGCCTGCCCCGGCGACAGAAAAACACTCGTTAGCTTCTACTTTTCTTCAGTCTCGTTATTGTCATTAGCCTGCAGTGTGTCCACGTGAGAGCAAAGAGGAACTTAACCCTCTACTGAAGAGTCTTGACTTATGATAATACATCAATCACAACATACTCAGAGGTTATTTATTTAAATTAGTCTTTTTATTTTTGTTGTGGAATAAATAAAAGAAATCTGATTCCAGTGATTGAGACTTTAATGTTTGTTATGAACTGTAATCGTCTTCTTAATCACGGCTCTCTTGCGGGGACAAACAAATTAAGTCGCTTTGATTATTTCAACCGAAGAGACGATGATTGGTTGATTTCGGTTGGTGTGCAAAAATAAGCGATGACGCCTCGCAACAACGGTTCACACGTCTGGCACGTGCAGGAGGTGCACGGGCTCAAAGCCAAAAACACAAGATGTGCAACAGCGTGGGAAGCAGGAGTCAGATCTCAGGAGATGAGGTGAAACTTTCGACGCTTTCTGAGGGCAGAACTGTTCATACGTGTCTTAACATCACGACAAGAACATTAAAAGCTGCAGAGACGAGCCTGATCCGATTGGCGGATAACGAACGTCTCGAGCAGGATTCAAACCTGCGACACGTCTAAACCTGCCAGCTGACAAACCTCGTTTTCACCCTCAGTGCGTCTCAGTCATTTATTCACGAATGACCAGTCCGTCAGACGCGACTGCCGCCTCTCGATCGGCGGTCAACGTCAAAAACATATCTCGTGGATGAACGGAGACGATGAAAACACACAAACTGCCGCTTAGTCTCGTGTGCCCGGAATAGAAGCGCACGGAACCACAAACGGATCTATTTCTACTTGTTGCGTCTCCGTTTGGTTGGTTTGTTTCAAGAGAAGCAGAGAGAATCCGAGGATCTGACTGCTGTTTGATGCGCTAACGAGCTCTGCAACACAGCTGCTTTTAAAAGGAACCTCCCACTGAAGACTCACACCTCACCACCATAAACTATACTTAAAAGCTCCTTTATACGACATTAACATAGCAGCAAACAACCACCGCTCCTCTTCTCTCCCCATCAATGCACATTACTGACTCTTCTTCTTCTTCTTCCTCGCAGGTTTCTGTGCCTCGTGGTTATATCTGGACCCTGGTCTTGAATCCTGCCGTGGACCTGACGACACCCACTGCTTTATTATTAGTAGTCGCATACTGACACCATTAATGCTTTTATTATTCTACAATACAGTAGTCGTAATTTTTCCATCATTATTCTGCTTACTACTCATTATATGAATAATTCCTGTCATATGCATTTAATGTGTTGTAACTCTGTACACATGGAATCTATTCATGTCCATCCTGGGAGAGGGATCCCTCCTCCCTCCTCCGTTGCTCTTCCTCAGGTTTCTTCCTTTCCTGCTCCGATGTGAGGGTCCCGGGACGGAGGATGTCGTGTGTGTACAGATTATAAAGCCCTCTGAGGAGAGTATAGAAAATGAAATGAATAGAATATTGTCTGTGGAAAGATATATTAGAGTAATGTCTACCTGAGCAGAGAATAAAGTCCAGAGAAATAAGACAGGAGAAGAACAGACATTGTTATGGTGTCAACAGACGTCAGTGGGGCGGTCAATTGTTGTCGTAGCTCCGGACACGAGTTAGCTAGTTAGCCAACGTAGGCGGAGGGACCGCTGGACCCGAAACCATTCGAGGACGTCATCTTTGGACTTTTGGAAACACAGATTTTATAGACCAAATGACTAATCGAGAAGATAAAATCGACAGATCGTTGTAGCCCTGCAGCTGCATGGACTACATGTGCATGGACTACATGTGCATGGACTACATGTGCATGGACTACATGTGCATGGACTACATGTGCATGGACTACATGTGCATGGACTACATGTAAACACAAGCAGTGAAATGGAGAAAGACAATAAAGAAGCTTTTGTTTATCTGCACAAGCGATCACAGGTTGTTTGTGATCAATCACGACGATCACGCTGTGAGACGAGTCAATCTCGTCCTACAAGCCCGTCCACGCCGGAGTCGGCTGATAACACACCAATTTATTTTCGGAAAACATGTCTTGAAATGTACTTTGGGCCAAAATATAACAAGATTCAATTCCAGCGGAGACATTTTTTGATCACGTAATCTGCCAAATAGCGAGAGCTGGCTGATGTGGGGAAATCTGTTCGCCACTCATGTTCTGAATAATCTTTCTGCAACTTCGTCTGCCTTCCTCAGATTGACCCTTCACCCCTTGTTTTCCGAGTCCGTCCTCTTCCCGCCCACCATTGAGCAGGGCCGCTGTGTGCTTGAACTACGCCCACGCTCCCGTCTCCCAGCAAGTGGACAAACTGCTATTTCCCAAATCACAAATCCATTTGTGCAACTTCTTGCAGACACTTCCCACACAGACGAAAGAGGTATTAAGGGCTCGACAACAAGTAACCCTGCGACCAACCCAGCAGGATAAAAGTACACACACACACACACACACACTTAAGTTTTAGGTTCTTCAACAGCCATAACTCTCTTCTCTACAGCAGCTAGTTTGCTGAACACATACAGCGCTGCTTCCACTGATTGTGCAGCATCAAAGGCTGCTCAACGCATCCTCGCGGAATTTGCGTGCGTTTTGTTAAGAGAAGTCCAGCAACGCGGCTCAATTTCAGCTCCTTACGTGCATGTAGTCTTTTCAAAATACACTCCCGTCTCTACAGGAAACAAGTTAGTTAGGTTTACGACTGCTGTATGGGAACAGCCTGAGCTGCTCGACAGTCACACAGATCATGTTTCAGCTGATCGGGGTTTTTGCTTGGGAAAATAAAGACGATGCGTTGCTTACGTCTCCTCCGCTGTCTTTAAGGCCCAGGATGTTTGGGTGCTGAGACAGCTGCACCACGGCGTCCAGCGGCAGCTCCAGCCCCGTGTTGGCCGGCACGCTGTACAGAACCACCGGCACCGGGCTGCTGTCCGCCACCTGCAGGGGAGACGCAGAGAGATGAGCGCCATGTCTGAACTCTCCCTTCTCTTTGATTCCCAAGTCAATCAAAGTACCGTACTTTTTCAAGCTTTTCTCATTTAATACTACCCTGAGCCTTCCACTCAGCACTTATTGTATTCCTACTAGTTTGTTTCTGTTGCTCTGGTTTATGCTCTTAGATGCTTGTTTAAAAAATTAGATGCACTCATGACTTCTGGTGACTAGTAGTTCTCCACAAAACAACCAAACTATCCTTTAACATGTTTGAACAGTGAGAACATGGTGACCGGCCCTCGTTCCTTCAAATAGCTGTTTGGGGGTTCAGACTTGGTTCTAGGGTTACGGTAAGAATCAGGTCTACGTTAAGGTTAGTGTCAGGATTAGGTTATGCATCATGTTAACTCGGGTTCCTCGTGAGTATGCGAGTACGTTCCGACAGTCAGCGGACCTTTGTGAAGTGCTGGATCAGAGCGCGGCCGTCCATCTTGCCCTTGTAGAAGCAGGGCGTCACCACGAGGACGACGTCGGCTCCGGCCGCCGCCATCTTCTCGGTGAGCTGCACTGTGGCTCTCGTGGCTGATGAGACGAGAGAGTCGAAAAACAACTTCACAACTTTACAATCTGCACGACACGTCCGTCAAAAACCTGAAAGGACTGGAGGTGGAATCGCGGCTGCAGGAGGTTTCTCGTACTTTTTCATATTGCACTTGTTCATTGTGTATGCATTTATTTATTGTAATTCAATTTTAATATTGAGGGTTTTTGTTTACATATACAACCTAAATTATTAACGTTAACTTATGACAAATGAAACACCAATAAACTAAACAAACAATTTTAAAAAAAGGACAAAACAGCCGTAGTTAAAAGTTTCCATTATCAAAGATGGAAGTCTACAAATCCAATATTTTGTAAATGTATCATAAATCATCCGTTTATTACGTTTACGAACAAAAACATTCTCTTACTCAAAGCTGAAAGGTCTTTTCTTTCCATATATAATATTTTCTAATCACTGCTTTATAGTCGGGGATTCAGTTTCATACCAATGTCTTGTTATTCTTACTTGTGATCAATAATTTCAGTGACAATCATTTCTATTTCTAACAGAGCGACCTACGGAGTGAATGAGCCGTCGATGGTTCTATTCATTCAATCACAGGTTACATCAGCGGTCGCTGCAGAGACTCCCTCCACCACCTCCAATCTGCTATTGAATTTAAAATACACCTGCTACATGTAAACACAATGTATTAGAGGCTTCTTATGTTCCTGTGCCCTCACATACAAGTCCTCCATTCAAACCGTGTCACCGGTATGTACGTCTTCTTTCTCCTGCTTAAGAAACTGAATACAACAACCGTGGCCTCAATTTCACAGTGTCTATGATGAAGAGGAGCGACTGACTGCATGTCGAAGGTAACGAGAAGAGAAGTGAAGTGAAGTGGCTGTAAAGCTGACGTCAGAACGGTGGAAGGGCCGAACAGAAGCCAGACGCCGTACGTAACAAATCTGCCCCTGGACTGTTGACTGAATAAACACAGAGATCAGGAGGTTTTTAGACCGTCGGTGAATGTGAGTTAAAGCACATCTCTCTCCTCTCATCTATGAATGTTCATTATAGAACTCAACAGGAAATAAAACTGTTACAGACTCCACGTTCAGTGTGAATAAACTGACTCACGACGGCTGCAAAACCTCTTTGACTTCGCTGAAGACCACTGAAGGGTTAATAGTCTTTTTGACGGCCCTTCATTGTTATGTTGAATTTTAGCGGTTGTGATCCATTTGAAGAACTTGAGTGAACTTTTGAGAGTTGAACAGCGTTTTCTTTTTTATTCCATAATGAGTTTTTATTTCAGCGTAGCCGATTGTTTTGACCACGTGTCACTTTTAAAGAAATTGAAATGTCACATTAATATGACAGCTGGCTTGAAGCCAACTAATGGTTGTCATATTTTGTTTTAATTACATTTATCACAGAACCTTGAATGTATTAAAAAAGCAGCTTTTCATAGTCGTGGTTGACATCTTCAGTGGTACAAACATGACATTCAGAACCGTACAGTCCATGTTTATCCATTCAGCGTTCATCGCTTTGCAATATTTGTTTTCTTTTCAACGTGACTTCTGTATGGGCATTTTTTTAATCTTGTGTGTATATATATATATATATATATATATATAATATTTATATTGTGTGTGCAACGTACTTGGCCAATAAAAGGTGACTCTGACTCGAGTTAACACCGTGCATTAGAGCGCGTGCGCGCACACACACACACACACACACACACACACACACACACACACAGACCTACATTCACAGCCTGATCCGGCCATCAGCAGTTTGTCCGTGGGCAGCGATCGTCTGACCGTCTTCACCACCTCCACCCGCTCCTCCTCTGTAAGGTACGGGTACTCCCCGTTGGAGCCCTGAACCACCAGTCCTGCAACACAGAACACCTCATTATGTTCATCTGTGTTACCTAAAGTTATCCCCTAATGTTTACCGGCCTTTAAAACCAGTGGCTTTACATTTACTTTGTGTGCCAAACTGTAGCTACTCTTCTAAACTCTGCTCTCCACATCTGTAGTACTTTGTTCTTTGTTTCCTTCTCTCTATACCTCTCCTTCTGATTGTATTGTGACTAGTGTTGAAACAGCAACAGCTGTGATGACGGCAGATGTGGTTGTGGCAGCTGCATGAAAAGCTGCAAAGGTAGTAATGATAGCAGCAACACTAGAGACAACCCTCATCACACAGGACAGAAACAGGACGAAACATACTAAATGATGAAAAAGATGAGTAGTTAGTAGATGAGAACTACTGGTAGTATAGCAGCAATAGACAGAGTTTAGTGCCATGACAGCAGCAGATATACACACAGTAGTCTCAGTAGAGGTGTTAACATGCTTTGATGTATTGGTGCATGACATACATTTAAGAAATTTTAATTTAAAATTAAGTATTGCAAAAAAAAACACGAAAAAAAAAGGAAAAATACACATAAATGTGGAAAAAACAATAGAAAATGTGTAAATATATTAAATTAAAATGTGACAGTAGCAGGAATGTTCTAATTATTATTTTTTCTTTGTTAAATTAAGTCGTAGGCTATTGCAAATATATATATATTGTAGTAGTAATAGAAAACCACCAGAGGGCGACAGACACCTCCCTGCCTCCAGGTGATTTTGCGTTTTTCCTCCATGCTGAACTTTGTCCTCTCTCTCAGGTCCCTAAACAAACACTGATGGCTGACAACCGATGAACCTCTCCGCGGGTTTCTGTCAAAGAGTAACAAGTTCACGTGTCCTTGACGTCATCCCAACTATCTTAAAGTTTAACCAAAGACGTCTGCAGACTGTTTTTGCTAAAAGATCTCCTCACATGCACCGTCAGTGTGAATCACATCCTGTGTGACTGACAGACACGTTCAAGTCTTTTGTTACTGAGGACCATCTGGGTCCGTCTCAGTGACCCCTGTAACCTGTCTAGACTCTCCTGGACTTCCATAAACAGAGATGTGTGTCCTGACCTTTGAACGGTATCTTGCCATACTTCTGCAGGTTTCCCTCCAGTTTCTGGTAGTCCACGTCCTCCTCGGGGGTGAACGGAGTGGCAATAGGCGGATACATCCCGCTGAGGTCCAGCCTGGAAGCTGCTGTGCGGCTCTGGGTCCGTTTCCATGCGGACAGGTGACCTCCTCTGCACAGGGGACTCAGACCTCTCCAGACCCGGACGCACAGCATTGTGAAGCGGACTGAGTGACCGAGCTGCCCGCTGCCCGCTGCCCTGTGTGTGTGTGTGTGTGTGTGTGTGTGTATGTGTGTGTGAGACTATGAGCAGCTGCAGCAGACGAGGACAGTTAATCACTAATCCGCTTTTGTAAATATTGACTTGAATTTGGGATTTCAGAGCAACTCTGAAACTGTCTCCACTCTTCTCCTCACTCGGTCCCGTTCCGCAGGGCGGCGCGTTTCTGTAAAAAAAGAAAAGCGCTGGTGTTTGTTTCTGTGACTTCACGCGCCACCTCCTGCAGGTCAGCTGGCACCTGTTTTGGGACGATTGTCTAAATGTTTTCCCACAACGCAAAGTTAGCAACGTGTGCTGCAGCAGATCAGAAGCTCCGCCCAGGAGCAGTAAGGGATCATCAACAAAGCACGGCCCAGGACTGTGGAGGGGGGGGGGGTGGATGGATTACTCAATTACCTGGGCACAAGGGTCAGGTGTCCAAAGTGTCAGGCCCTCCATGTACCAACGAGGAAGAGACTCAGATGACCACACATAAACATACAACTACAAAGACACACAAAATGACACAAAGCAATCTAAAACGAGTCTCAATTTGACCACAAAGAGACACGAAACAGCTACAAACGTGTTTCAAAACAACTACAAAGAAACTCAAAAAGTCTGAAAAGAGACAGAAAACAAATACAAATAGACACAAACCACATACAATGACACAAAACAACTACAAAGAGAATTACATTTTTGGGAATTGAAAACAAAGTTAGTGTTCAGAAATGGCTGAAAAACTAATTATTGCTTGATCTTAATAAAAAGATGAGCACCACGTGTTGCATTTGTGATTCAGTTTGTATTGTGGCCGTCAGCAGTCACATCAAATAAGAATTAACAGTAAAACGTATCAAGAGGAACACAAACAGAAAATAAGAAAAGACTAAAGAAGGACTGATCACAAAGTCTCTAACAGAACAACATGAGGAAGTTACTCTCATATTACAGCATATTAATCATAATTAATATGTTGCTGAAATGCTCCACAGCCTCTGATGGACGTCACTCTACTGCCCCCGTGTGGAGAACCGTTGAGCTGCATCGACATTAAACCAATCACTGATAAAGTCTCAGCGTTCTGCAGTTTGATCGACGTAGATGTAATTAATACAAAGCAGCCGAGCAGAAGGTACGAAACATACTGTCTGACAGCATCAGAGCAAGATCTCACAAAGACAGGTTGAGACTATGTTGCCTCCTTTAAGATGAAACGTTGTCTACTTTTTATTAAAACAAGTATATGTGGACACTCCTTTAGTGTCTATTGATCTGAAGCTGTTTTTTATAGTGTGCGAGGCCCCTTAGGTCCAGTTTGTTGAACCCTTCTTTTATTTTTTTTAACCAACTTGACCTCAACCACCACGCCGTTGTGATGAACTGGAGAGCAGACTGAGAGCAAAGGTTTCTCTTCCAACATCAGTGTTTGACCTCGCTAATACTCTCGTGTCTTAATGGAAGCAAAATCTTGCAGACATGCTATGAGATACGATGAGATACGATGAGATACGATGAGAT